AATTCTATTCCAACCTCTCTGTTTCTCTTCACAAACTGATCTTAGGAGTCTTATATCATCCCATTAACATCCCCAGGGTTTGTTTACAGAAGATAGAAGCAAGAATCGTAACTAAAATCTCAACAGATTTTAATATGCTTTAATGAACAGAACTGGGAGCAACAATACACGAACTGTAAACAGATTTGAATTCAATGCAAACAAATCATCAACAAGCATACAATAAACACATAAGTTTCATTTACTAATTAGTTAATCCCTAGAGACTATCTAGGTGCACAGAACACGAGCCAAAGAGAAGGAGAAAGAGAAGAACTTGCCTGTGATTTCAATTTTGAAATCCCTGTGTCGTCTCTAAGTTTTTCCGGCAATTCTGAACGCTGCCAAGCTTCCTATAACTCTGTCTCTAATCCTTACTCAACCTCCTTGGTCCTCTCTGTACAATTCCTCTTAAGCCTCACTCTGTTTTCCCACAACTGCTCTCTGTTTTTCTCTATGTATCTTTGGTACGTGAATAGGGTTTTTCCAACCCTTGATACAGATTATAACCGTATATATAGGCATAAAAATCCTAAACCCTAATCCCTGTTTAATTAGAGACAGAGCCCTAATTCTAAACCTAGTCGGCCCATGAAATTATCTCTGTTACGGCTTACCTATACGTGAAATTCCAACCCCAAAGTTAAATGTAACTTAAAACAGAATTAAATGAAAAAAAAATAATAATAATTAAATAATTAAATCCACTTAACTAATTAATTCCAATTAAATAAATCAATTAAATAATTAAAAACATTTAAACAATAAAATGCCAATTAAATAATAAAAGATAATTTAATTCAATTTAAAACACATGACACATAGGTAAACAATTAAATGAAATCAATAAATAAAAATAATTAAACCAAATAATCACGAAAAATACAATAAAAATAATAAATAAATGCCGAGACTATCCTTTTAAAATTAGGGGTATTACATACTGCATATACGCACCCTATTCGTCGACTATGAGACTCAAGCTTAGATCGCGGTACCATACTAATATATATAAAATCCGTTCACATTCATCCATAAGAAATCCAGTAAGTCGTTCGGCGTATCCATCCGCACCGACTCATATATATAAGGAGGATTTTATTTAACAACCCGTACCCTTATTCCAAAATAGGCAAGACTGAGTATTTTGAATCAGTCTCTCCCCAGTATGTCACCGTTCCATACCGGTGCATACAATTCACAAAATCCATATAATTGATTGAACAGATAAAATTGTTCGCCCATTAAAATCCATAACGTAGGAATTTGCGTTTTGAGCTAAACCATACCTAGTATGTCACCGTCCCATACCGGTGCATACAATCCTCCATATCCATGTAAATTACAACATATAAATAATAAGCAAGTAATTTACAGTCCAAAACCAAATATCCAAATAATTGCAGAAACATATTTAAAGTTTCAGCAATTTAAATCCAAGATTTAAACCATATAGTTGTAGGAAACAATTAATAATTCAGCAACTACCATTCAGAGCATGCATAGATCAAATCTAATACATCAATGACTCTATCTTGCATTTAAAATAAATTCTATAATCATATTATAGTCCAATAAATCGGTACATTAATTTAAGCAATTTAATTCCTTCCATCCTGTAACAGCGTACTAAGTTGTATACTTGTATTCTGTCTTATCTTTTAGCACAGAGCCATGCACTATGCCCCAAGTCCAATTTATTAATTTAAAAGACTTCACTGTACTTTTAATCTTAATTTAGAATCATTATATAGCACCCTAAATTGTCAAATTAAAACTAGAAAATAAACTTCCTTCCAGCCGTTAACCGCATGCAAAGTTGTTAATTAGCGCACTGTTAATTTCATTAACTTAGAGGTTAACCTTACTTAATTTAAAGATTTAATAACACCCTAAACCAACCTTATAATCCCTCTGTAAAACCCCAGAGTCAACAAAACAGTTTCCATGCTCCAACAGTAACAATATAGTTCGTTAAAAAATAAAATTCTGAAAACACTATTGAAAAGAGCCTTCTCCAAAAAACTGGAGAAGGCTCTAAACCACCTAGAGCAGGCTCCACATTTTAGAGCCTTCTCTTTCTTCCGTTAAGCCTTCTCCTTTGCTTCCTATTTCACTTGCATAATTACATCTCTTATGCACTGAGAGCTTATAACAATACCTAGGTTACATGTTAATCATTTTAGTTTATTTCCCACACAGTTCCAGATTCAAGAATCGTCCACACAGTTCCAAACAGAGCCTAAAAACTAATCCAGAACCCATCCAAACAACCCTGTACATGAAAACCATCATAGAGCCTGCTCTAAAAAAAAGTGGAGCAGGCTCCAAGCATCCTAGAGCCGGCTCCCTAGCCCTTGGAACCGGCTCTGCAAAGGGTGAGCCGGCTCCCCACTTCTGGAGCCGTCTCTCTTTTCCCCTCTCTGAGAACTGCTCCTTCCTGCTTCGTTTTACATCATCTGTTCATCTCTAGCCTCTTCCTACCCTTCTGTTCTTCCTTAAGACTAACTTTAACAGTCTAATATTTATACATTGCCATCCCAGTACTTGGTTTACAACAGTAAGTACAACAACAACAATTAAAACCATAACAGTTTCATGCTTTAAAACTAACCACGAAGAACAGAGATGCGACGAAAATTTGAGACATATTGTAAACATATACAGATGATTATATTGGCAAATGATAGGTTTGCAAAAACTCAATTAATATTTAATTAAAACCCTAGAGACCATCTAAGAGTGCACAGAACACAGGCTAAGGGGAGAGAGACGAAATAGAACTTGCCTTTACAGTTTTGGATTCAAAACCATGTCCCGTCTTCCTAAGTTTTCTGACAATGTCCGAGTACTGTCAACTCCACCTTCTACTGCTCAACCTTCCCTTCTCCTAAGTCCGAACCTTAATCCGTAGCCGAAACCCTCACCTATGTTACTCTGTTTTCCTCAAACCCTCTTTCTGTTTTCACTCTAAAAGCTCTCTATAAAATAAACCCTTATATACATGAATAGGGTCTGTGTTTATTTTCCAACCCTAAACCTAATTCCAATTCTGAGAGGAGACGGGAAAAAAAATAAAATTATACTAAGTCGGCTAACTCGTGAGATTAAACGAAACCCTAAAATTATAATATTCATTTAATAATAATTTTCTAATTTAATTATTAATAATTCCTTATAATTAAATTAACCCAAACATACATATATGCCCATAAATACATGAATATAAAATGATGAGTATTAACCGTACCCATGTAATCCAACCCATCCAATCGGCTAAAAATAAAAAATAAAGCAACTAACCACAATTAAATCAAGTAGACTAATTAATCAGATACGGAAAATTCAAATACACTATGAACAATTAAATCAAGTAAAAATAAAACAATTAAATACATAACCAATTTGACACATAAGCACCTAGCCACAAAATCAAATTAAAATTGCACATAGAACAAAATTTAAATTCTAATCTTATCCTTTTGAATACTAGGAGTATTACAAATATCTTCATAATCATAGACCTTTAATAACTAACCCCACAAGACTTCCTTCAAGCCCAATACCACATCCGTTGACCCAACTTCCCTTAAACCAATCCAAGTAATTTAAATACATAAAATAATTTAAATACATAAAATAATTAAATAAATAATGCACACAAGCTTAAACGCACACCAATCAAATAAACAATTCACTCATTAGCATTTCGCAAATCAAACTCTATACAAATTTAACAAATAAAATTACAAAATATAATTCAATTAAAACAAGACAGTATATCTACACGCTTAATTAAATAAAACAAATCTCAATTTATCTACGCACTTAATTAAATAAAACGAAGCATTCTACACACTTAATTAAATAAAACAAACCACAATTTATCTACGCACTTAATTAAATAACACGAATCATTAAAAATAAATAAAAATAACAACACTTAAATTAAACAAATAAAAAAAAATAATAGTAATTACTTCCAATTAATAAATCCTTTAAAATATTGGATATTACAGAGGTCACCCTTATTGTGAATATTCACTTACTATAAATCACATGTTCAAGTTACAATTTATTTATTAAACCCAATGATCATGCAGACACATTTCACTGTGTGTTTGATAGAGAATTGTATATGCTATAGATTAAGTTATTCGTCGATGATTTTTGACTTTGTTGTCTTCAAACATTCAAGTTCATGTTGTGAGTTCTTAATTTTACATGTTTTAAGAGTGCTCCAAGATTAAACAATTTGGAGGTCCTTGATTTGAGTGGTAATGCATTCAACAATAACAGCTGGTCATTTTTACGGGAATTTTCATCACTAAAGACTTTATATCTAGGAGGAAACATATTAAATGGAACAATTCACATTTGAGGTAGGCATTTTTTTTAAAGCTCTTAATTAATAGATGAAATGCTCAATCAATGACTTCCACTCCTATATATGCATCTTCTTATATTTCATTACATTGTGTTGCTCCATATTTACAGACTTGCAAAACCTTAGGAGTGTGAAAAACTTGTTCTTGGATGATACTACTCTCAATAATGACTTCTTTTCAAGCATTCAAGTTATAACGTCGCTTAAAATATTGTCACTACAAGATTGTGGACTTACTGACACCTTACTTGTTCCAGGTAAAGACAAAATAAAAGTTTAATTCCATCCTAGACATAAAAAATCAACTACTACAACACGATCGATTTGTCTCATTTAAGTTATTCCATCTATCTATCTATATTATATTATTAGATGAAATTTAATTACGCTGACTTGGTCAATTTAATGGTTCTCCGGGCTTTGTGAATTGAGGACTCTTCAACATCTTGATCTCTCCGATAACAGACTGGAGGGTAACTTGCCCGGGTGCTTGGCAAAGTTGACATCCCTTCGTTTTTTGGATCTGTCTTCCAATCAATTCACTGGAAATATTGCATCTTCTCCACTTATTCAAATGACATCTCTTGAGTACCTTGGCCTTTCAAACAACCGCTTCCAAGTCCCAATCACGTTTCGATCATTATTCAACCACTCAAAACTCAAGGTCATTGAAAGCCAAGAAAACGAATTGGTGTCAGAATTGAATTTTCAGACTCTAGCGCCGAGTTTCCAACTAACTGTTATTTGTTTATCTCACAGTGCATCTAGCAATATCAATAGCACTACAGACTTTCCCAACTTCCTCTACTACCAAAAGGACCTTCAAATAGTTGAGCTTTCTCGAATTAACTCTGATGGGAAGTTTCCAAATTGGTTGTTGGAGAACAATACAGGATTAGTAGCACTTAATCTACCAAATAATTCATTCAGTGGATTTCTTCAGTTGCCTTTCCATCCCAGAACACAGCTTCTAGAACTAGATATCTCTGACAATAACTTCCAGGGCCATATTCCGAGAAACATTGGTACAGCTTTTCCAGGTTTAACGTCGTTAACCATGTCCGGAAATAGATTTGGTGGTACAATTCCCTCTTCATTTGGTGACATGTCTTCTCTACAGGTTCTTGACTTGTCCAATAATCGACTATCTGGTGGGATACCGAAGCACTTGGCCATGGGTTGCGTCCGCTTAACAATTTTGACACTGTCACATAATAATTTGCAAGGCCCCATTTTGCCAACAAAAAATAACATGACTGCGTTGGGTTCTTTATTCCTAGACGACAATCTCTTCACGGAGATCTCGGATACCTTATCCAACTGTTCTTATTTGTGGATTCTGAATATAAGTCAGAATCATTTGTCAGGGAAACTACCTGGGTGGATGGGAAATATGTCATACGTGAATGGGATTGCAATGTCCAATAATCATCTGGAAGGTCCAATTCCAACTGAATTTTGTAGACTAGATACTCTTGAGATTTTTGACCTCTCCGAGAACAAAATATCAGGGACCATACCATCTTGCTTCAACCCCTCATATATTGAGCATGTTCATCTGTTTAAAAATAGGCTGCAAGGACCATTGTCACGTGCATTTTACAATAGCAGCTCATTAGTGATCTTAGATCTTTCCCTTAACAACTTAACTGGTCATATTCCAAATTGGATTGGTACCCTTTCTAGTCTGAGCATTCTTGTCTTGAACAACAATCATTTTGAAGGTGAGATCCCACTCAGTTTATGCCACTTGTCCCAATTAAAAATGATTGATCTTTCTTATAATGACTTTTCTGGCCACATTCCTCCTTGTTTGAATAACATCACTTTTGAGGGAAAACTGGAAGAAACTTCCAACGTAGCCATGTCTCTTACGGAGATAATATTCGGTAAAGAAGCAGAAGTAAACTTCACTAATAAAGGAACGTCACTCTCTTACAAGGGAATCAATCTTGATCTATTCTCAGCTATTGATCTCTCCAGCAACAGATTGACAGGTCACATTCCAAATGAAATTGGAAACATAGGCCAAATCAGAGCGATGAACTTGTCTCACAATGGCTTGAGCGGGACGATACCAACAACGTTTTCAAACCTATACAATGTAGAGAACTTAGATCTCTCCTTCAACAACTTGAGTGGGAAACTCCCTTCAGAGCTTAATGAGTTGTATTCTCTGGCCGTGTTCAATGTATCATACAATAACCTGTCCGACACCATACCACAAGGTAAAAGATCTGTTCAATTTGATACATTTGATAATAGTAGCTACATTGGCAATCCACTTCTTTGTGGACCACCACTTTCAAGACCTTGCATCGCCATTGAGCCACCTCCAACAACCCCAACAGTTGTGAATAGCAATGAAGTGGATGATTGCTTCATGGACATGGAATCATTTTATGTGACCTTTGCAGTGTCCTACATAACCATGTTATTAGGGATTGCAGCTATTATCTACATCAACCCCTACTGGCGGCGAGTCTGGATTCATTTGGTTGAGGTGTGCGTTACCTCTTGCTACTATTTCGTTGTCGATTATTTTCCGAAAGATATTTTGGCGGAGAAATATTTAGACATGTGTGTTTGATGGTGGTTAGATATTGTAACCCTTTCCATTTCTTTTCCTTGTGTTGCTTTGGAACTCAAATTAAATAAATCTTGTCATTATTATCAATTATATTTGGGTTCATTATAAAACAAATTTGATGTTTTGGCAATTCAAAATCATACTGTTTCCTCAAAAGTACGACTTTCAGTAAATTATTTATTGTTATGTCTGAGAGCATTGGAATATGGATTTAGAATTGAAGAAAATTTAGTATAAAAGTTGATCTAAATTTCTTTCAATTCTAAATTCAAAATGCATTTTATTTCCCCTGTTCTCCTTAAATGTTTTGTATGGGTTAAAACTCAAAAGACCCAAGTATAATTCCGCCTAGTCTCGAGATGCTTTTTAGGTAATGGTGGTTTCGACCGACCTAAAAATTGTTGTAATACGGGTCCATGAAACCTAGTAGAAAGGCCTACCAAAAAACTAAAATCACAAACAATTTTCAGATATCTAAAAAAAAATAAAAAATACTGTATACTAATGATGTGTTCTTTTTTAAACTCTGTTTTCAGAATATGATTTTAGAAATAATAAATCAAATAAATTTTGTCGTCTTCTTTAGACCCTTCAGTTTTGGTGCAGATAGGCTTTATGGGTTGACCCCAAGTCAAGATGTTAACAAATAATTCAAGTTGATTTTATGTTCCATCATTTGATTTTCTATATATCTGTCAGCTTTTGGTTGGTACCATTATTGAATTATTTTAGTTTTGGTTTATTTAAGATGGGATTAGAGATTTAGAGGTTCTATAAACTTTTTTTGTATACACTTCCCAGTCTCTACGTTGGTTTATTTTTCCAAGCATGCAAGACAAAGAAGAGAGAGGGAAACACAATTTGAATGGCTTGAAATTAACCCTTCCTACTAGATTTAATGAGCCTGTTTAAATGACTGGTCAATTCTTGGCCCATATAATAAATAGCCATTTAGATTAATGATCTTCAAAAATTCAATAAATTTTTTAAAATTCATCTTTATAAAATTATGTAATTATAAGTTGTTTATTGATGCATTTTAGACCTTACTTGCGATGTTGAAAAAAAAAAAATTGACGGGTGCGGTAATCAAATACACTCGTTATACGGTACAATGAGCGCAATAAAATTTTTTTCAACCTTTTTATTTTATTTATTACGGGTCAGACCATATGTTGAGATTCTTTTTATCAATACATATATTGTCTTACAATGGTGAACAAAGGAATAAAAATATTCAAAGATACGCATTTGCATATATGTGTACCATAACCATTCAATCCCAAAATACTGCTTTGCAATCCTTAAAACCAAAACCTCATTTGACAAGAAGTTTTCAAATCATTTTGCACATCTTTCTTTTCAAAATCATTTTTCAAATCATTTTTCAACACATTCTCATTTATATGGTCATGCACATGCAATAAAGGAGGAATATGATATGAAGCGAGACGGCTTCCCAAGTGGCCCTCTTGGCTTGGTTTGTGGTTGGGAAAAGTAGTTTGACAGTGGACCATTTTTTAAGTACAAAAATGGTAATTAGATGTCTTATGTGCGGAGGTAGCGGCCAATACACAAGTGCTGATCCTCCTGCATAGCGTGAATTCATATATGGAATTGCCCTATTTCAATCCAAAAGCATCATATCATGCACAATTTATTATGTGCATCTCTTTGATTTCATATATTTGTAATTGATGAAACAGTAATGATTCTACAATTAACTGAAGTCTTTTAATAAAAGATTCGGCTAAACCATTTTGAGTATGAGTGTATGCAACAGGATGTTCAACATTAATTCCAACTGACATGCAATAATCATCAAAAGTAAGAAGAAAATTCCCGTTCTCTTGTTTTCTATTCAATACGTGGACTCACGAGGTCATAAGAAGTGTGTCTTAGACACTTCTTACTGAACTTATGTTCACCCCTTTATTATTAACATTTTTCAGGTCATGGCAAAGATGTGGAGGACGACAATCCACCACAGATTAGCTGAGTTGACGGACTTAATCTCTTTTGTGCTTAATGTGTATATTAATCCTTTGGTTGTGAAAACTAAGTCTTAATTACATCGTTTATACATGTTAAATCAGTTTCTAGTATCATTGAATTAAATCTGTTGCTCAGTTGTTACAAGTTCAGTCATAAGTGCGCATTAGGTAGTATCTTGTGGGTTGTAATTACCCGAAATAACTTATACATGTGCGCACTAGGTAGTGTCTTGTGGGTCGTAATTACCTGGAAACACCTGCTTGGTCTAACAACCACATGTCCTAGTCTTTCCACTATTTGATTTCGTAGCAAAGATGGTTTCCATATGATTTCAGTTGAAAGAAAATTACATCAAAATTGCCAAACTAACCTCTACTTTTTTATTATTTCTACATTAGAGTTCAAAGCTTGAACATTTCCATCTTTTTGGCATTCTTGTTCGCTACTGACTGATTTCAAATAGACAGGTTGTTAGTGTATAGCATGCTATATCAGGATTGAACTTTTTTTTTCCCCCTTTTGAATCGATGACGGTCCGAAACCCAAATCCATTTTTGGTTCATGAATCGAACAAGGCGGAACAGTTGCTCACGTGAGTAAAAAAATTAAACGGGTAGGAATGGAATGGATAGGCCCCGTTTAAACGATATTGGACAAAAAATTGCCGATGCTCGTTCCATAAGAGGTAGAGGTAGTTCCACCACATACAATCACAATTGTGCTCATATGTTCCTACACTATATAAAGTTTAATTGTGATGGTAACTATTAATTATGAAATTGTTATTGTGTTGTTCTAAACACGTGCATATTTTTTCCTTTGACTTCAGTCAATTTTATGAATCTCAAATATAAGGAAGAGAGAAATGCTAGAATTTTCAAAGGGCAGAAAGCTTCACAGAGAGTTGTCTGTGCTAAGGTCTCCTCCACAATAGCTGCTATTTTGAAGATGGGTTACAAAATTAGAATTAGATGTTAACCTGTTCTCTGGATGACTCGCAACATACTTGATTCGAAACATTAAAGAATTTATAAAGTGTTACATGTTTGAAAAATAAAATAGCAAAGTTTAGGCTTGTCAAGGCTCAAGCGGAGCCCCTCAACCTAGCACATTTCTGACCCCTAACTCACAGGATGCAATTTGAAAGGAAAGAATGTTGAGAATTAAATACTTTCTTAAAAGAGGTCTATTACATAATGCTGATAAAAACCATATTCTCCCTATTTTTCTAGCGAATTTTTATGTTAGATTTATCTTTCAAATCTGATTTGGATCTAAATTTGGGTTGTTGGACAAAATTTAATATCAACAAATCATGAAATACAAGAAAAATCAAACTGAAATAACTATGAGATTATGATGGGAAGAATATTCTTTGGTTTCATACAATTGATCAGATAACCTTAAATAACTGAAGTTGTTTCTAACTTCAAAGTCAATGTCTTCCACAATAGGTGGAGAGAGAAACTCTGTTAGTTAAGAGCATCTCTAGCGGTTTGTTAAAATGTCCTTTTATGTAAAATATAAATTGCCACCTATGATGTGTAATTTTTTTTTTTCTATATCCAGCAGTCTTTTAAGATACATTGTCACATCACCAATGTGTAAAAAGGTTGTGTATTTTACACAACTTTTTTGCACTGGCAGATTAACATATTTCCTTTTCTCATCCCTCTTTCTCATTATATTAAAAAATTAACCATATATTAAGTAGGTTTGTAAGAATTATATGGGATCCTGGCATGACACATGGCTAGTTATTATTGGGAGATGTATTTTTACACAAAAGGTATAAAACAACTGTTAAAGCTCAAATTAAACAATTCAAAATTTTTGTATAAATCTATCATGACACATCAAATTTACACAAAAAATATATATATATACAATGGTTATAGATGCTCTAAGTTGTGAAATATCAAGATATCCTCCAACACTAACATCACGTGACCTCATTGGTGGGGAAGAAAATCTTTTCTTATACATATGAAAGTTATTTAAATCAATGTTTATAAACTTAAAGTCTTGAAGCTATGTTTAATTTTTTCAGTGTAATAAAATACTTACTATCGTAATGTGTCAATCACTAGTCAAATCGTGTCAAATGGTGTAAAAAGTGTAGCACCGTGCCACACACGTTGAAAACTTTGTTAATTAGCTCTTGTTGAAAGTGTAATTGATATACCAAAATGTAAATATTTATTTATTATTAAAGGTTAATAAACCTTTCTGGCCACATTCCACCTTGTTTATTGCTTTATTTTTCCCATATTTAAAGTTGACGTCATTCTTGCTTGATTGGAATCTATATTTACGCAAAGAGGACCCATTAAGGGATATATCGGAGTTGATCGTACCACAAACACAAGCAGTGCTCAGAAACCTTTTCCATGTAAAATATTTTGCATGTGAAATATTTTCCTTGTAAAATATTTTCAAGCAGTGTGCAAAATAACATCTCTCCTCCTTGTTACTATCTCTCTCTCTTACGTTAAAAGCCTAAAACATCCCTCTTGATCTCTCCTTGTTACTTTCTCTCTCCAGAACATGCTCTCAACCCAAATCTATTCCTTGACCAACTCAAAATTTGTGTCCCTCTTTCTCTTTCCTCTCATTCCATGCATGTATACATATAAAGAGGGTGGACTGAAGATTAAATTTTTAGATTGAGAGGATTGAAAAAGATTAGTTATTAGAGGGATATAGGGATTCAATAAGAATACGAATGGTTAGATAAGCCAAGGTAGCCTGTGAAAAATAACTTACGGAGTTTTTTTTTGGTAAATCATTTTCAATCATTTGGGGGTAAAATGATTTACATGAAAAATAATTTCCTAACATTTGAGTCTTCCAAACACCGAAAATTGAGAAAATAATTTTAAAACAATATTTTATGATGAAACAAATGGAGCGGAACTGACAGCTATTTTACCCTACCAAAAATTGTCGTTGGACCAAAGAAATAATCTCTTCATGGCGAACATGTTGTAAATTACCAACGTGTG